ATTTCAAAAACTAATAGAACTTAGCATAGTGATGGCTCATGCTGGGCTTTTCCCCTCTGTGCTTTTTAGAGGAATCATCTAGAGGCCCTGACTGGAGGAGAAACGGGTAGTGTGGAGCTGAGGAGCCGTGATGTAGTTCTGAGGAGATACGAATGGTCCTCTGCTCTCTGCCTTCCGTCTCTCCGCTTGCGAGTAAGCAGTCAGTAGTTTGAATTCTTCATATGTACTTGGCAGCAGGTTTCTTCACAGACCATGAGCTTCCTGTTTTGGCAGGGGGTCTTGGGGAACTGAAGGTGGAGAAGGGACGGTAGTTTGCTGTGTAGAGGTATTTCTTGGGATGTAGGTTCCACAGGGTTCTATCTGCTTGTTGTCCTATTGTGGAAATGGGAGATGGATTGGTCAATGTTAGAGCCCCCCATGGTGATTTAGATAGGAGGAGAAGAGGTCATGCGCTGTTGCTGACTTAGATGCTTACTGGTGTGTCTTTTCTCCCTTGTATTGCGTTTAGTAGTGAGGAACAAGGAAGTCAGCTGTCAGAATCTCCTTCCCTTCTGCAATGGAAAGCAATCGTGATGAGCGAGTCCATGAGCATGATCAATGTGAGGCATGAACCGTCCAGCCAGATGAGGAGCAGTTGCTGTCATCACTGAGATATGCATTTGGTTTGCTGAAGGCTCCGCTCCTGGCCTACCTAGGTCTCAGTAGGGACAGACATTTAGCCAGGGCTGGCTTTGAAAGGAGAGAGACAAGGTCCCCATTTTCAGTGGTGGCTTATTTCTCTGGACACAACTGGAGTGTCCTCCACAGCAGAGAATTGGAGGCAAGCAGATGACTTCAGGTGGTGAGTAGCTTTCCTTTAGCCAATGCGAGACTGTCTGTCTCTCTGTGTGTCTTCTCTAGTGTGTTGGCCATCACGCTCTTTCTCTGTCTCTTTGTCCTTGCCTCTGTTTGTGCGCTCTCCTTCTGTTGGACAGTCGTAGATGTTCCAGGTGTGCATTTCCACAGGAAAGGTGTCAGGAGCCATGGGGGTTAGGAAGGGAGGTAAATGTGGCGGAGCTCTGTCATTGTTGACTCAGTCCTAGCTTGAATGGGGCTGATAGAGTTTGGAAAGGGAGGAGGGCTGAAGAAGAGATTTCCCACCCCAATAGAGCTTAGCATAGTGATGCCTCATGCTGGACTCTTTCTGTTGTTCTTTTCAGGGGAATCATGCAGAGGCCCAGGTCAGAGGAGCACTAGGCAGCGGAGGACATGAGTAGCCTTGAACCCTTCAGACAACATAAACGATACTCTGCTTTCTGCCTTCCACACACCTGGCTCTGAGTAAGTACTCAGTGCTTTGAATTCCTCATTTATACTGGCATTAGGATTCTTCACAGGCTGTTAGCTTCCTGTTGCAGCATAGGGCCCTGGGGAATGGAGGCTGCAGAAGGGACAGTAGTCTGCCATGCAGAGTGACTATTTTGGATGGTAATAGAAATGTAGCCGTGTTAGTCTGGTGTAGCTGAAGTAAAATACAGGACTATGTAGCACTTTAAAGACTAACAAGATGGTTTATTAGATGATGAGCTTTCGTGGGCCAGACCCACTTCCTCAGATCAAGTCTCTGAACTGTCATTCATGTTAAAATTCGACACTCTCCGGGAAGGAATGAACAAAGGCTCAAACTATCTTACCCATTACCAAGATATCTTGATCTGAGGAAGTGGGTCTGGCCCACGAAAGCTCATCATCTAATAAACCATCTTGTTAGTCTTTAAAGTGCTACATAGTCCTGTATTTTGGATGCAACTTCAACAGGCTCCTTTCTATTTTTATTCATACAGCAGTAGTGGGATGGGGTGGCCGACGGATCCCCACAACGTGATTTATAATATATAAGAGATTATGCAACACTGCCGACTGAGTTTCTAACTTGTTTCTTTTCACCCCTTGTGCAGAGTTTAGTAGCAAATGAAAAGAAGTCCACCAACAATCTCTTGTCATGCAATGGAAATGGAGCGAAAGCAGTGACTACATGAGGATATTCAATGTAAGACAAGAGCCATGCAAAACAGCCCCCATTGTCACTGAGATAGGTAGGCTGTGAACAGAGCACTCACCAGGCCAGATACTTAACTCCAGGCAGGAACATAGAATCATAGAATACTGGGACTGGAAGGGACCTCGAGAGGTCATCGAGTCCAGTCCCCTGCCCTCATGGCAGGACCAAATACTGTCTAGACCATCCCTGATAGACATTTATCTAACCTACTCTTAAATATTTCCAGAGATGGGGATTCCACAACCTCCCTGGCAATATATTCCAGTGTTTGACCACCCTGACAGTTAGGAACTTTTTCCTAATGTCCAACCTAAACCTCCCTTGCTGCAGTTTAAGTCCATTGCTTCTTGTCCTGTCCTCAGAGGCCAAGCTGAACAAGTTTTCTCCCTCCTCCTCATGACACCCTTTTAGATACCTGAAAACGGCTCTCATGTCCCCCCTCAGTCTTCTCTTTTCCAAACTAAACAAACCCAATTCTTTCAGCCTTCCCTCATAGGTCATGTTCTCTAGACCTTTAATGATTCTTGTTGCTCTTCTCTGGACACTCTTCAATTTCTCCACATCTTTCTTGAAATGCGGTGCTAACATCTGGTTAGTGAAGGCTGGCTTTGTAAGGAGCGGTTCTGAGGGATAGCAAGTCCCCGTTTTTAGAGACTGCTCTGTACTCTGGGCAGAAGCAAGTGCCTGCCCCAGCAGATAGATGGACTTAGGAAGAGGACTCCAGATGGCAAGTGGCTTGCCTTCCTCCCACATGTTTCTCTCTCTCCCCTAGCATATTGGCCAATCCAATCTCTTTCTCTCACCCTCTTCCTTTTGTCTTTGTCCTTTTCTCTGCTCTTGCCATCTCCTTCTACAGGACACTTGTGGGCATTCTAGGTGAACATTCCCACAGGCAAAGTCTTGGGAGCCAAGGGGAAGTAGGAAGGGATTTAAATCGTGCAGGGTAGGGTTCTCAAAAGCAGAGCTCTGTCATGGTTGACTCAATCTCTGTTCATCGAGTGGGGCCAATATAGATGGGAGACGGGGGCAGGATTGAAGCCAAGATTTCACACATCAATGGAGCTTAGTGTAGTGATGGTAGAGTATGGGCTTTTCCTGCTGTGTTAGTGAGGCAAGCATCCAGCAGCTCTGACCAGAAGAGATGATGACAGAAGGTGACCTGAGAAGCATGAATATTCTTCTAAGGAGAGACTGGAAAGATCCTGAGCTTTCTGCCTTCCTCATAACTGGCTGTGAGTAATCAGAATTTTGAAGTCCTCATTTGTGCTCGCTGTCATTCCCTGACAGGTCGCCAGCTTCCTGTTTGGGCAGGCAGGAGACCCTGTGGAATTGGGGCAAGTTGTATTCCCACTGTGGGAATGGGAAGGAGAGGCCATCTCCCTCAATGTGTTAGATGCAAGAAGCAGCGGCCACCTGAGTTGTTAATTTATTTTCTCCCTTGTGCTGGATATAGTAGTAAAGGGAAAAGCAGTCACCTGTCAGTCTCCTCCCATTGCGAGACGGAAAGAGATCCAGATTAGCGAGCGTGGTCGAGTAAAGGCAAGAGCCGTCCAACTGGGAGCAGAGCAGTTGCCATTCTTATCTCAGTAAGTGACTGTTGTGGCAAGGGCTCTGCTCACGGCCCTCTAGGCTCCAGGTAGGGATGCTTATCTTCCCAGGCAGATAGATGGATCTAGGCGGATGAGTCCAGGTGGTGAGTCACTTGCTTTTCTCCCATGTGTTTCTTTCCCTCTTCTCCATTGTGTTGGCCAACACACTTTCTCTCTTTCACTGTCTCATTGTCTTGGCACAGAGGAAAGGACAACTTGCAGGCAGTCAAGTTGTGCATGTCCACAGGCAAAATCTCAGGACCCATGAGGAGGTAGAAAGGGAGAGGGCAGTGAGCGTGAGACTGGAGTTGTGACTGTGGTTGACTGTCTCTGTTCATGTAGTGGGGCCAATGTAGATGGGAGTCAGAGGCAGGGATGAAAGCCAGATTTCACACAGCAAGAGAGCTTAGTGGAGCAATGGTTCATGCTGGGGTTTTTCTGCCGCACTTGCAGAGGAATCATCCGGGAGCCCAGAGGAGAAGCTGGCAGAAGGGGACCCAAGCAGCCTGGATATCCTTCTAAAGAGACATGCACAGTCCTCAGTTTTCTGCCTTCTTCATAACTGGCTGTGAGTAAGAGATCAGGTTTTTGATTTCCTCTCCTGTTTTCACTCTAGGTTTCTTCACAGGCTGTTGTCTTTCTGCTTTGGCACAGGCCTGTGGAATCGAGCCTAGAGAAGGGACAATAGTCTGCTCTGCAGAATGACTTTTTGAACATGTGTTCCATGGAGTCCTTTCTAACTGTAGTCCTACAGCAGTAATGGGAGGAGGTGGCAGTGCCCTGGAACGTGGTAGATGCGGGAAGAGGAGGTTACGTGACACTGCCAACTGAGATGATTACTGGTTTTTATTTATTTATTTATTTATGTTTGCTTGTGCTGGGTTTAGTAGTAAGGGAAAGAAGTCAACTGTCAGAGTCTACTCCATCATAGGATGGAATATAAGCAAGAGCAGTGAGTCCATGTGCATTATCGATGCAAGACAAGAACTATCCAGCTGGGACTGGAAAGCAGGGCTGCCCCTAGCGATGGCACAAAAGGAAGGGTGGCAGGAGCAGACTCTACTACCCTTCCTTCTGTGCTGCTGGTGGTGGCAGGCTGATACTGCCCAGCTTAGAAGTTAGGTACTGCTAGCAGCGGCACAGATGGCAGGGTGGCAGTACCGTACCCTGTCTCTTTCCTTTTGTGCTGCTAATGGCAGTGGGGTTGTCATGCAGGCTGGGTGTCTGATCAGTTGCTGTCCTCCCTCAATATTCCCCCTTAGAAGGCAGTGCTGCCACCAGCCACGGCCCAGAAGGAAGGGAGGCAATATCACACCGTGCCACCCTTCCTTCTCCACTCCTGCTGGCGATGGTGCTGTCTTTCCAGTTGTCCAGAAAGGCAGAATTACCACTAGCAGTGGCACAGAAGGAAGGGTGGCAATACCATACCATGCTGCCCTTCTTTCTGCACTGCTGTTGCCAGCAGCATTGACTTCTGAGCTGGGTGTCCTGCCAGTAGCCACCTCTCTCTGGCCCCTCAGCATGGAGAGCAGTGCTGTGGCCAGCAGTGGCGCAGAAGGAAGTGTAGCGGGAACAGACCATGTTACCCCTTCTTCTAAGCTGCTGCTGGCAGGGAGAGGAGGAGGGTCTGTAGTCTTAAGCAAAAGCTTGCTCTGCTTTCAAGCTTGGGGCAGCTACTGGTGGCAAATCTCTCCTGCAGCCAGGACTCCTGTGGCAACTTCTTCAGCATCTCCTCAGGTCAGTCTCTTGTTATCTGCTGTCTCTCCCCTTTTGGAGCTGCCTGGCTCTGGGAGGTGGTGCACCAGTGTGAAGGTGCGAAGGTGCACTCCATGGCCAAATGCGGGGAGGATGTGGCTCCGGCTCGCTCAGCTCCTTTTGGCTGTCAGCCCACTCCTCATGCCCAGGAATCTGGAAATTCACTCTGTTCTTAGGCCTGTCGGGGGTTTGGTCTGGTGGCCTCTTCACCCTTTTAGAGGGGTTGTCCCTGGATGGCCCTCTAGCAGTCTGCTGACTGGAGTTTCTTTCTGGTGCCTGCTCAGTCCTCTTTAGCCGCCCTGCCAGTCTGCTTCCCAGCCCTTTGATCATCCCAGCTGCTATTAGCCTGCCAATCAGCAGTGGCTGGCAGTGCCTGGATTAACCCTTTGGTTTCTGAGCTAGCGTGCGGGAACATACACCCCATGACAAGCTGCCTTTGAAACTCCTCTTCCAGCAGGGGCAGGTTCTGCAAGGGATGGTGGGCAATGTCCTCTCTAATCTATTCTATCCATATGCAGAGTTTTTAAATCCATGTGTGGAATAACTTTTATGTGCATGGAGGCATGTGTGACTGTGCACCACCAGGAGAAACAAAACCTCGGTGTAGGTGCACTGCTAATGAGCTGGGCAGCAATGGAATCTCTCCTGAGTGACCCCACAAGTGCACAGCTTACAGGAAACACCTTGGCCCCACAGCAACCTTGGCCCCACAGAATAGCAGGTGTACCCACAGAGAGTGGGGAGGAAGGTTGACCCCAAACTGAGGTCGGGAGGAAAGGAGAGAGACAGATTCATCCTCCAGCTGGGGCCAACCTCAGAGGATTTGGTGAGTTTTAACAGGGCTCCCATTACCCATTGGGGGTCAGTCTCAGATGGGAGGTAGATCATTTTTTCAGGGGTCCTATTGCCTGGGTTCTGTCAGTGTCACCTTTATATCGGGCCCTATTTCCCAGCTGGGTTTCCTTACCTCTGGTGTAGCAGCAGTTTGTAGAGCCGGCACATCCTTTCCGTTGCCAGCTGGGTCACTGATGAACAGTCACAGCAAAGTCACTAAGGGTATGTCTACACTACCCTCCTAGTTCGAACTAGGGGGGTAATGTAGACATACCGCACTTTGATTTGAATTTCCCGGGCTTCATTTGCATAAGCGGGGAGCCGCCATTTTTAAAACCCCGCTGGTTCGAACCCCGTGCCGCGCGGCTACACGGGGCTCGAACTAGGTAGTTCGGACTAGGCTTCCTATTCCGAACTACCGGTACACCTCATTCCATGCTGCATGGGGTTCGAACTGCCGGCATTTAAAAATGGTGCCGGCCGGCTTCATGCAAATGAAGCCCGGGAAATTCAAATCCCGGGCTTCATTTGCAAGTGCGGTATGCCTACATTACCCCGCTAGTTCGAACTAGCGGGGTAGTGTAGACATACCCTAATTTCCCTAAGCACAACTGCGCTGAGATCTAATGGAAGGGAAGGAGAGGGGGCTCCGTCAGCATTCCAGTCTCCCTTGGACAAGGAGTCTTTCTTCCTCAAGGGGTCCTGAAGCAAAGGGATGTGGGTAGGGCCTTGTATGACGACTTGCACCCCTAGCTGCTCCAGGAGGACAAGAAGGGACCCAGGGCCAGGCAAAAATCTGGCTGAAACAAGGGTTGGAACATGGCCCCTTAAATGCCCAGGATCTCCACTGAACCAGGAGAAGATGAGCTTGATTCAAGTCTCTCTCATTCACTGTTCTGACTTTGCTGTCATAGGGGAACATTCCCAACCCACAGCTCTTGCAGCTGCAGGTCCTACAGCCTGTCTGAGCCAGCCTGCCTATGCCTGACTTCAGGAAGCCAGGGTTAGAGGTCACTTATGTCAAATTCATGGAGGGAGATAGTGAATGAGAACAGGGCTCTTAAGCTCCTAATGGCTTTGGCTCTCCCATGAGCCTGAGGCAGAAATCGACACGCTGAAGGGGGAAGGAGGAAGGCCACGGTCAATAGACTGGTGTATATGCTGTGCAAATGAGTCCACCTCCAGGACTGAAACATGGTGTTCAAGAAGGAATATCTGATTCCTGGATCTCACCGGGGGTTGGATGCAGGAGGGGTGGAAAGTCTGAGGCTGTTGTTATCAAAGCCTGCCAGGGATGAATTGAAGTTCCATCTCCTTCTCCTGTCCATGAAGGAAAAAGGGCCCAACATAGCACTGCCCTGACTAAGAACAACCCACTGAGGTGGCAGGCTTGGGAGGCAGACTGTAAAATGAATTTAGAATCATAGAATACTAGGACTGGAAGGGACCTCGAGAGGTCATCGAGTCCAGTCCCCTGCCCTCATGGCAGGACCCAGTACTGTCTAGACCATCCCTGATAGACATTTATTTAACCTACTCTTAAATATCTCCAGAGATGGAGATTCCACAACCTCCTTGAGCAATTTATTCCAGTGTTAAACTACCCTGACAGTTAGGAACTTTTTCCTAATGTCCAACCTAAACCTCCCTTGCTGCAGTTTAAGCCCATTGCTTCTTGTTCTATCCTCAGAGGCCAAGATGAACAAGTTTTCTCCCTCCTCCTTATGACACCCTTTTAGATACCTGAAAACTGCTATCATGTCCCCCCTCAATCTTCTCTTTTCTAAACTAAACAAACCCAATACCTTCAGTGTTCCCTCATAGGTTATGTTCTCTAGACCTTTAATCATTCTCGTTGCTCTTCTCTGGACCCTCTCCACCCTTTTGCTTGGTGTCTTTCTCATAAGTGGATAGATTGCAGCAGCTATTGCCATCTTAAGTAATATTTTATATGTTGAAAGCTTTGTGATTAAACTTGTTTATGCATAGTTAATTGTCTTTGATTCCAAATTAGCCTTAAAAAACTTTGAATATAGTGTTTTATATACTCCTTTTGAAATATGTAAGTATACCAAATAAATACATCTTTAGAAGGATATACCAGTTTATGAAAGATAGTAAGTTATTAGAGGAAATGACCATTTCACAGTTACTCCATGATTGTCAGTATGACTCAGTACACTAGTCAAAGTCTTCTGGAGCTAATAAATATGCTATTTTAACTTCCAGGTATATACAATCAGACATTACTAAAATCTCTGAGTACCCATGAGCACTCTACTGAGCTTTAAACTTAAGTGTAATTTTTCCTTCATTTTCAGTATTGAAAGTAGTTGAAGGGATTTCTGAGGGATATTTATATTTTCCTTAGATCTGTCTCTTTGTATGTACTATGTCATATAAAACCAAAACATTTAAGACTTAACGTTTTGTAAATTTTGGACTGATTTCTTTATATTCTGGGGGTTTTATATAGGAAGAGGTTTGAATAGCTAGATAAGAAATCAATGAAAATTACTACTAAACATCTTGGTTGAAAAGATGTCTTATTTTTTTAGCCTGACTTAATTGTGTGGTGCTTCTCTACTACATACTGATCATATTTTCCATTATATTTCAGCATAAAATTTTCCTTAAATACATAAATTAGTATGACTATACTTACTTCATATTTTATGTTGGCTCTTCCACATAGACTTCTAGGAAAAGAGAGATACATTAATTCATTTTTGTTGCAAGTTACAGAAATCATCTTAAAGATTATACTATTTGACATAGGTTTATTTTCTCTGTCTAGTGAGAGAGCCTGTTTGCTTTTATGTTACTCTTTTGCTTCTGCAGATTGAGACGACGATATGATCATGAAGATAATAAAAACCAAAGGTATATAGAGAATAATGAGAAAAGAAGCAAAGAGGACAAAGAAATCCAAAATAAAACTACAGAAAAAGATACCTCAATCAAGGAAGGAACAATACTATGTACGCCTCAGAAAAACAAACTAGGGAGGGCAACAATGGAAACCGGAAGAGACAAAGCTTCCAGGCAGTCAGCAGAGAAGTGGAAGCGGCAGGAGGACAGAGACTTAAGAGAAAAACGTTGTTCTTCAGGCGTCTTGGTGAAGACTGAAACAAAGAAGTCATTAGCATCTCTGCCAGTCTCTCCTTTCCAGTTGTTCCCAGCACAAAGTTAAAACTGCCCCCTACCCCTCCTGATCATGCTCACTTCCAAGATGTATGAGAGCCTGCCAACAGGTTCCCCAGCAAGGCAGGCCTGAGGTCAGACAAGCCCTTGTGCAGAGCCTGCAAAGGAAGGGGCAGCCATGGGTCACAGATGGGAAATTGGGAAAGCTTCTCCTCCCTGTCACTAACCCCCTGCTCAGCCAATCAGCATTGAGACTCTGAGAAGTGGGAGGCCAAGAGATCTTACCAGACATCTCAAAGGATGGCCCAGGTCACCACCAGAGAGGATCAGTCTCAGAGCAATTCCAGCC